CAGACTGGGTGTCAGACCCAAAGCTGTACAGCCAAAGTGAGCATGCTGTGGGTGTGTTCAACTTTAATACTGGGAGTCGAGGTTAAATGTTCGTTTAGTGATTTCCATAGTTATGATAAGCTTGCAACGATATATTGTCCTCATCAGTCAAAAATGGTATATCGTCGTCTGTCTAGGAGAGACTAAGCCGCATGCTTGTTTTGCATGATATCGATTTCGACAATGAATTTATATGACGAACATCACTAGGCTAGCACCTGAATGTCAAACTTCGAGAACCACTCCAAGCCGTCCTGGTCATGCACGTAGCGGCTCTCCTTGGATCCCCTTGCTAGGTAACCTTTGATCACTTCCCTTGCCTCGCCTTGCACTGGGAACGTAATCTCTATTCTTGCTGTCATTTCCTTTGCCACGGCATACCAATCATCATAGAAATCCTCGAAATCCTGGAGAGATTGTCCTCGTGCAAGCTGTATCCTAACGTCCTTCTCTCTTCTGGAGCTGAAATGAAGCGAATTGCAGAGCCATTGGAGCTGTTGGGAGCACGAATCCCTAGAGTGGATGCTCACGCGCAGGAAACCAAGTTTATCGGGCTTGGTCAGGTATACGTCCAAATATTCTATGCCTGGTCAAGTCGCTAGCCATGATGAAGAAGGATCAGCTCACTTTCCAACTGGAACCCAATGTCCAATGACTGAAGGTTTTCACTCTTCTTAAGGAGCTCCGAGAGTTCGAATAACTGCCGACAACTGTTGTAGTCATTTCTGGAAGCAGAGGAGTTCACTTTGAGTTGGAGCACGCGAAGCTCCTGGAGGTTGAGTGTGTCGTGGATGCATGTGAGAGTAGCCCGGAAATTGATGGGTTCGACAGTGCTGATACTGAGCGTCTTTGGTTTGGCGCGGCGCGAGAGTGGGAGTGTGTCCCAGTCGTCCGAGTACGAGACGGTGTAGACTGGTGGAAAGATGACATTAAAGAACTCTAGTGAAGTGAGGGACGGCAAGCATTGAAGCATTCTGATCAGGCTAGGGCGAGTGATGTCACGGTCTCTGGAGTCCACGCAGAGGTGCCTGATCCCTCTGCGGTGATATCGGACGCTGTTGGAATCGGGATTGGTGCTAAACTTCACTCGGATGATGGAGAGTCTCTTGAATGACTTGAGGCGAGAGAGCAGGTCCACCATTTGGTCTACGTCGGAAAACTCTATACGTTCCAGCCTAACAGGCTGCCTAGAACAGTTGAATTCAGAGAGTTCTCCTCTTTTGAATCGCCACCATAAGCTGCTCTCGCTAGAGATAATAAGCTCCGGGATGGCGGGTCGGAGTCCTTCGTTGTACGCGGCTAGGGGTATTGTCGACATGAGTGGAAAAGTGGGTGTGGTGTTTAGTACGAGACTTGAGAGTTAAAAGGGAAAAACAGTGATGGTGGCATACTGATTGTCGACTGTGCGCCACAGGTTGAACCTCAAACGGAGATCGACGGAAACAATAAGAAATATAAGTGCAATGAAGAAAGCCATATCAATATCAATGTTTCTTTGCCAGCCACACGCTTACAATTGAAAGACTTGAAGATACTTATGGTGACCATTTCGGAATGTATCACAGGAAACATCAATTGGCTGCCTGTACCGCGAGATTTCGTCGTTATTTGGGCCAGCCGTCTGCCCGTGAGCATTAGGAACAAGGTAGTATTTAGTATTCACTCTAATGCAAAAACGGATGAGCCACAAGAGATCGTGATGCCAAAAGGCCAAGTACGAATGCGAAGTTCAACAGATTCTTTCGCAAAACTGACGCCAACGCCACCCCCGATCCACGATTCGCTGTTGACTACACAAGTACCACTAGAGTAAACTGTCCCAAGTATAAAATGTACAGGAATAATTACTCAAAACCAATTGGTGTACCGGTAAGATGGCGAGGTGCTACAAGATTGGACCTACGTCGTGCTCTGCCCCTTCAATAAAGTCAGAAACATGACCCGGTTCATGACCTCTGTTCCATGGGGACACTCGCCACGCCCGACCTCCGCCATTTTCTTTTGCCATTGGGGGTATACAAGAGGGTCAGTGAACTTGTCGACCAAGTACTTGACCTCCATATCCAGTATTTTAGGATACCTAAGGGGGGTCATTATTAAGAAACGGGCCAAAACGAACAGGTACGTACTGGCCACTAAATTTTGAGAAGACTTCGGCGATGATGTTACTCGGCGTCAACTGCGAACGAAGATTTTCGAACGCCAACTCTTGAAGGCCGTCAAGATTAGCCTGTAGGATAAATCCAAAGAGATAAATAAGCTTGTATTTGTGGAATGCTCACCTTCACAGCCAAGCGATACATTGATTTAGGCGAGCATGGATCCGTTGTTGCGATTCGGGGAATTTCATTGGACTTGAGAGGGGCAAAGGAGATTTCGCGAGTATACAAATACGCCAGAAGGGCTTTCCAACTAGTATATGCAATCAGAATGGATCAAGAATCCAACGAAAGCGACGCACGTCCTATACGCGGCGTCATTGACATGCCAGACAGACCCAAAGCGCTCTGCTCCTTGTACTTCTGCTTCATTGATTTGGTCTCCGTAGTCTGTTAAAACTGGCGATAACGACCTATCAAGAGGCTCGGCTATGCCTTCTTCTGGTGGCGGGTGAAGAGTATCATCGTTGGACAGAGATGGTGATACTGTTTGCGGTGGTGACTCCGGTGGGTATGAAGATGGGTCTTGTGAACGATGGACCGATGAATACGGCTCATCATATACTGGTTGACGGTTGGGGTAATCGAAATCTGACCGTAACAATTCCGAGAGTCAATAATTACGCACCGGGAAGAAGGAGGAGTTACCTGTCGTATGCGGCGCCAGTGCAGCATCAATGTCCATCGTATCCTTATCACCATCGTCCTCATCAAAATCACTGTCCGCGTCATAGTCATATGCACTCCATATCGCCGATTCGCAGTCAACCATATCGAGGTTAACCGCCTTCACACCTGTACTATTAATGTCTGACAGCAGGAAGTATCAATATTCTCCCCTTCACAATAATTGTCTACGTACATTTGTCCACGAACGGCGTGTACCCTTTCAAGAGGGCACTGCTCGCGAAAATCGCCTTCGGATAGCCAATGTATCCACGAGGTGACACGCGCGTGCATATGATGAACTTGAGATCGATAGGAAGTTTCCCATCGCATTGTAGAGTGGACGTTATAACTTTGGACACTCTCTCCCAAGACGTAAGAGCGGGATTTTGTCGAAAGGGGAATGTGACTTCGAGGGAGAGGGAGAGGTTCGATCTGTTGATTAAATCTGAACCTGCTAAGTTAACCCTCATGAGGAAGGCTTCCGTAGTCAGACTTTCGATCACCTTCACGGTTTCAGTCTTGTTGAAGTTGGACCCAAATGAAGCACGGAAAGACAGGTCTCCAAGAGAGGCAAGTTTAGATGAGCTTGGCAGAATGTAGAAGTTGAAAGCTGCCCGAGATTGCAGTGGAATACGTTTGCCACCAATGGTGTCGACGTTAATGGAACACTGAGCGATCCATCCTAATCCGAATGGCTCGCTTTTCAGTATATACTGGCCGACGTCTTTGAAAACCGGAACTGAGAAGGAGGACTTGACCTGCAGTGATGGAGATGAGAGCCAATCGTCGGGTTGTGTCTTTTCCAAGATCATCTGGCTAGCGAAGACGAGGGGTCAAGGTGCTGTCGAAGGAAGCCAAACCTTATATACGGAAATTTTCTCCGTGGGAAACTACGTTACTGCAGGGTGGGCATTCGTATCGATGGCATTAGGCGCCGTTATCAAAAGCATATCTTGAAGTCCAAGCCACGGTAGAGAAGGGAGCGGCCAGAGCTAGTCAAATAAAGACAAGTCCAAATGATTCTAGAGTCAATGATTTGATGCCGCCTCCCAAACCTCTCGGTGCGCCAGTACTTTACGTTCAAAGCCAGTACTGTTGAGGATTATGGTTTCACAGCCACTGGACCGATGGCTACGCCGTCGTTTGTTTTACATTATTTTGATTTTCGTATCGATCACTACCGTCACGGTCTCTTGGCTTCGTACCACCATCACCTACGTATCTGTCCACGAATATACGTTCGTTCGAGCCATACCCGTCACGTCCTTTGTGCCTGCCGATGTCTATTCCCAACAAGTACCCTCGAAGGTAGCGTGGATTCTCCGTGGAAGCCCATTTGCAACCGGATGGGTGGCGGTGTTTCCTACCTTATCTCGCTACTCAGAAGATTGTCGTTCACAGTCAACAGAGGCATATTTCTGATTCTGTACTGAGATTTTGCATGAACGGAAGGTACTAGTACGGTTGGAAGTGTTGACTGAGGAGACTATTCGGAGGATATGCGCACTGCTGCATGACCCAACTCCATTGACTTCGGTTATATGTACTAAGCAGATATCAGAAAGGACATGGCGTCGGCTTCAGCACAAATCGGGAAAAACACTACAAGTTGTTACCAAGTAAGGCCACGGTGATCACGAGGTGGGGAAAACATACGAATGAACGTGATGGACCTAGATCAACAAAGAAATAAGGGAGTGGTTGGTGCCCAAGTCCAACCTTCAAGTTGATTCGATGATCCTTCAACGCTTTGCCGCAGAGTTGTTGAATTCGAATTCAAGGGATTGGAACTTGCAGGCTGCCGCTGGTACAAGTACGGATGATATTTTTTCCACGACGCTGGCCGCTATGGACAAAAGTAGCCAGGAACAGTAAATATAGCATGGACCCCCCTTGAAGCTTGAAGTAAGGGATTAACAGATGATCTTTGCCGGACCTTGCCGCAGATCGATCACATGAGTGCCGGGCGGCTCGAGGCCGGACTCTCCGGTCATCACCGAATCCCGATCAACCGATCAAATCATCAATACACCTCCATCCTCTCTTCCACGGTTCAAAATACTCATTTCCTGCACTATTACGGCTCCAAAAAGTGAATACCAGCAAGAGAACACTGAGAACTAGCAAAAGTATTGACCCCTGAGCGAGTTGAACGCACGACCTTGTGGATTCGAAAACATCTCTTTAAATTCGGACTGGAATCACACGCTCTACCACTGAGCTAAGGGGTCATTAACTTAATTGGATTTCGGTTCTATATATTGTACAGGCGTCATACTTTACCAGACTTGGCCGTGTTGATTTTTGTATTTCCGCCGAGTCCCGTCGGTACCCTAGCTCCTCATCTCTTGTCCGAAAGAAGTACATCATGGCCACGTTCTTGCTCGCTGCAACGACGAGCTTCAACGTTGCGAAAGACTTCGAATGGTGCCTCGATGTTAAATTAAACGTTGACCTGGACGTGCAAAGCATCTTTGGAGACAGTTACTCAGGCTGAGGCTGAGTTACAGTACAGCTGCCGGCCGTGTTACTCAAACCATCGTCTCCGTTGGTGGTCCTTTGTGTCTGAAGGTTTCTACGCCAGTCGCGATGACGTAACCTATACAGACAGGCCTCCCGCGGGTGTGTAAGTCATTATTTGACTCAGGACTGTCTCTCTTGCCAGCCGTAGAAGTCATCCTCCAACCGTGTTCCATTCTTCAGAAGATAATATGAATCAGGTATGTATTGCTTTTCATTAGTTCTTCGCACTGATACTTATTTATCCCTAGTCCTCTAATTCCAGATGACCGTTCTGCTTGCTCCGTATGCAGAGCAACTGAAAGTCATGTCAGCTTGTAGGGAAACATGGTCTGTCCTGATTCTTTTGGTGAGACCCTTCTTGGTATACATATGCTACTAAAGTTGATCCCTTTGTAGGCTTACATTTGCACGATATCATTATTACTATACTCCCTATCAATGCTATTCGACTTTTCTTTGTCCTCCATTTCAGAACGAGGACACCCTTTCGGTTCTTTTATTATAGCGCCCCAACTTCCATGATGGCAGCTGTAGCACTCCCCTGCAAACCCAAATCTTGCTCTCGCGCGCAGTACCGAGCCTCATCACGTCCAGTACTCTCTTACACAGTTCAAACTGGCGTCGCCGCTTATCACAACGCTCCATTTCACGCAAAAACTCGAGCCCCGATGACTTGCTGTAACGGATATTGAAGGCACTCCAGCGTTGGTAACGCTTGGATGGGATGGGCTTCCGATGTCGGTGAACAAAACAATCGCGCAGGGAGAAAGAGACCGAGATGTGGGTGCGAAATCTGAACTGGAGGACTGCGTGCACAAGCGCAATAGAATAACCTTTTTTATCTTCGATACCTAAAGGACAGAAGCAGAAACGGTGCTTGGTTCCCGTCAATAATCGACGACTTCGGTTACCGTACACTTTCTGCTTGAACTTACTGTGGGCCCGCTCGCTAGAAAGTTTCGCGCGACGGCTCCATATCATCTCCATGAAGAAATCCACCCGGACTCTGAATTACTGTTTCCGTCCTAGCATCCACCATCCGTACCGAGACCTAGAAGATTGTCTGCTTGGTTCGAGTTCGACACGCCACCTCTTCCGCATAGCCAAGTACCCCGTCCAATCCAATTAGCGTCCTAGCGCGTCTTATTTTTTCCGGAAACCCAAGTCGTGGTAGCGGCCTTGCTCGTGGCTCCAGCCTTTGAGCAATACCTCTGACCGCCCCGCGCATTTCAAGTCTGTGGAATCTGACTCTGCCGCCTAGCATTTTTTGCGTCAGAGACATTCCTTCGTCGACGCCCTTTATCCAAGACGTCGACATTTCATTCAATTGCCCTTTTGTACTTTTACCCTCCTCGTTTGTGATCCTGTTGTCTACCCACGCCCTTTACGACCGAGTAAATCAGTATTTCTTATCATATCACTCCGTTTTGGCTAATAGTCATCATTCAAGCCATCTCCACGGTCCAGTTACGGTAGACTTCCAAATGATTTCGGCTCCTACAAGGTCCATTATTCAGACGCTCAGTGATATATGCCTCTTCCGTCGCTCATTTTCCATAAGACTTCGTAGCTTGCGTGTCTGGAAGAAGAAATTGTTGAAATGGAGGCCTGTTGTGGCAAATGGATAACGGTTCTTTCTGCACCCGGTACATAGCGAGCTGCATCTGTTGTTGTGCCACCTACGTTAACTGAGTTTCAGGTTCGAGCTCACAACTGTACGGATATTTCTTCTGAACTTTGGTGCGGGATCATGGTAATTGAATTGATGTGACCGTCGATGATTCATGGTCGAAACTGTTCGGGACTCAGCTCAGTTGCCGTGGTGGAAGGCTGGTGGTCTTGGGTATTTGCCTACGCATTCTGTCGTCCACTGACAACAGTCAGAACGAGGCAATTTCGGCATTGTGCGATGAGGAGCGCACACAATGCAAAACTATCCCACGAGAACGAGAGTCTAACGAAAGAGGGAAATACGCTATGAAAATTGTGGCAACTGCCCTGTACTACTTATCATCATCTCGCTTGAATCGCGGGTGCATTATTAAAATTGTATTCTTCTCACTAAATCCAACATACAGAGAAGCTTGTTAAAGATGAGCGGATGCATGACACTACGACAGTAAAAGAACAAAGCATGATTTCAATAATCTCCGCAGAGTGGGGCCGTGGAACAGACAGAATCTGACGCAGGGTGTCCGCAGAGCATTAAAAAAAAGGGCAAATAAGACAGGGATCACAGGCGAAGCGCAGAACGTCGTACAGCAAAAGTATAGTGGTGGGGAATAAAGAAGCATACACATGCGAGCGATACTCTCTGCTTTGCCCCGGATTGAGCCGTACGTACCAGGCAGTCCGCCAAGTAGTCTGATGGGTGTACCGCATAGGATTGTGTGACTGTAAAAGAGAAAGGAATGATGATTCGTGGTGCCCACATGAGCTGGGTCGTAGGGGTGCCTTTCCCGATCTGGGAAGGCGTCGGTGGCGGTGTGCTCTCCGTAAAACCGTACTGGGCGACGAGTTCGGTTAGCGTTATAGATGCGAGACGGGGAAGGCAACACTCGGAATCCGATTCCGAACCGAGTTCCCAGTCAAGTCTCCTCTTCATCCTCCCAATGCGTGTGATGCCGTCGAGCGTCTTGGGTGACGAGATCCCGGATGATGCTGGGCGTGTATTAGTGTGTTGCTAGTCGTCAGCAACAGCGAGCACGATAAGATCCAGAGGAGGCTTACATATGGTAGACTCTTCGCGGGGATGAGCCATTCGTCGTTATCGTCCGAGTCTTCAGCGCCGCCTTCGACCTCCATTTCATCGTCGTCTTTCTTTTCGAATGTGATGGCAGTGTGATAGCTGCGTGAAGGGGTTTGGTGGCTGTCGTCGGCACGTCGCCTTCAACGTCGACGCCGCCTCAAGCTAGCAGCCTGTCAACACCGGCTGATCCATCCTCGAGAACCTACCATCCACATCTCACCTGAGAGTCTTGGTCAAGACCTACGCGACGTCTATCAGTATCATCCAAGGGATCGCCCCGGGATGGGACGCACCATCGATTAGCCAACCGAGACCCAACCATCGACGCCGTTGCTCGAATTTTGTCCCTCATCCCATCCATTCCAGCGCGATGCTCACAAAACCTGAAAAATGTCAGTGCACGGTGACCATGTGCATAAATGCTGAAACTTAGTAACAGTTGGAGTTGAGTTGAAGTTTGAGGTTCGAGTGTCAATCGAGTTGCAATCGAGTGTCCGATCTTATTTCGGTACGTTTCTTTCCCACGCCTCCCTTGGTCCGTCGAATCTTCATCTCATCTCATCGTTACATAGCGCATTACCTTCACGATGGATCGCTCTAAGGGACAATTTACGCCTTTTGTATCGTTCTCAGTTGAGTACGATTACCGAGGAGGCTCGTTGGAAGGCATGACCCGATTATGCGACCAGATGACGCATTCGTGCGACTTCCAAGATTATTGGGCTATGATATATGAAGCTTGAAGCTTTGAAATTTGAAGGGTCTGGAGGATTCCTGATGATGGAAGAACCTGCGGCACAAAACTCCGCTTTCGAAGCACGAGAGAAGAAAATAGATGATGTCCGGCCATACATGTATCCTGATGTATAGCATGGCGAGGTGGTTTCAAGTTATTATTATAATGCGCCAGCACCTTGTTGGAGATTAGGTGCTGATGGTTTGGAAGGAGGGTGTAGTGGACTCGAAATGAGAGTATATTCCGTCGTACAGTGTAGGGACAGTGGGGGTTCGGAGTCAAGTATAGATAGGTACGAACTGTCAATGTTTAAATTAAGTGGTACTAAATAGATATAAATAGAATACACCTCTCTCTAACTTGGTTCAGAGATTTCTTCTGAGCTGGTGAAACAGAATCACAATCATCAACCCCAAATCAACCCAGGCGGGTTGATGCATCGACTACTGATGAACCATCTTTCAAATCTCTCACGTGGTTGTTTAGTATATATGTACAGGTTCTCTCCCTTCAAGTTTTGTAGAACAACCACAAACACAACATGCAGCCCGTCCCCGCAGGTTACCCCATACAACAACTGTAAGTTACAATCGTGGAATCAAGCAGTGATGTGTACTGAATCATCTCATTCAAGGTCCGGACCTCTGGTTTGCCAAATTGCGCGTTTGGTCCATTCAGTTGCTAACACGGTAATTTAGATCATCGCCTATCTCTTACACTGGGGACTCTTCGGGACACTTTCTGTGCAGCTTTGTGTGTCGCTCTGAGTCACGCCCCAGTCCATCCGTTCCTGATGTATTCCCGTTAGATCTGTACTATCTAGCATTTCCGAAGGACAGACAATCTACAAAATACCTTGTCTATGGAATCTACGTTGTCGAGTTTGCTCAGACGATGCTTGTTACCCATGATGCCTTTGCAGAGTTTGGGTATGGCTTCGGCGATATCGATGCCCTGACTGGAATGTATTTTAATTGGCTGACTGTCCCTATCATGGGCGCTGTCGGTTTGTGTAGCCTCCGTCGTCTGTCTGCTTTCCGTTATTTATAATATGCACAGTTGCTGGTGTCGGACAGGTCTTTTATGCATACCGAATCCTCATATTGTCAAGATCACGGATGGTGCCAATATTCATCACTTGTGTTCGTTGTCGCGATCTTCCTCTGTGGCAGTCTAGCTTATATATTTAGTACAGGTGTCCTTGACCAGCTCCGTGGCAGCTA